GCGGGATAAAAATTCCATTCAAAGTATCTGTAGCAAATTAAATCAGTGTGAGGCCAGGATCTCAGATATGGAAGACAGGCTTGCAGTTAATGATCATGAAAAAGAGATTCCTTAAAAATAGCAAGGGACTATGAGAAATCAATCCAGCAGCTGCTGGATGAGGCAAAGAAGAGTAATTTAAGATTGATTATAGTCAATGAAAAAGCAGGAGATGGCACAAATGATATAAAAAGAAAAGTTCACAGATGTCATGGCAGAAAACTTCCCTGGTAGGAAAAAAGAATCTGATATACATATAAGTGAGGCATTTAGAATGCCAGTTAGCCATGATCAAAACACATCTACAGCCAGGTATACCATAATCAAAATTCCAGAAATTCAACAGAAGAACAGAATCTTAAAAGCTGTTGGAGGAAAAAAAAAATAATTTCTAAAGTAAAGCCCATCAAAATCACAGTTGACATCTCAGCACAAACCCTCAAATCAAGGAGAGCTTGGAGTAAAGTATTGCAAGTTCTAAAGGAAAACAGTCTTCAACCCAGACTGATGTACCCTGCAAAACTATGTTTCAAGACTGGTATAGAAATAAGATACTTTCATGACAAAGAGTATCTGAGGAAATTTATGACTACCAAACCAGAACTCCAAATTTGACATATATATAAGTGAAGGACATTTTTGAAGGACATTCTAGAAAAACATAACAAGGACTACAACTCCATGAACCCCAACAGAAGGAATCCACTGGGCAAGGCAGAAAATTAGAGGGAGGGGAAAAAAGGGGGGAAAGCCAACAACAGGAAAATAACATGACAAAGATAAGTCAATACATACCAGTTATAACCATGAATGTTAATGGTCTCAACTCACCAGTAAAAAAATATAGACTGGAAGAATGGATCAAGAAGCAAGATCCAACAAATATGCTGTATACAAGAAGCACATTTAATTTAAAAGCACATTTAATTCATAGACTTAAAGTGAAAGGATGGAAAACAATACTCCATGCAACAGGAACCCATAGAAAAGCAAGCATAGCTATTCTATTTGCAGACAAAGTGAATTTCAAGATTAAGAGACACAAAGAAGGTCACTACATCCTTGTAAAGGGAACAATCCAAGAGGAAGAGATAAAAGGCATAAATATATATGCAACAAATACCCATGCACCCATCTATATAAAAAAATAGTAACAGGCATGAAAAATCAGATAAGCACTAATACAATTTTACTGGGGAATCTCAAGGCCCCACTGTCACAAAAAGACAGATCAACTAGACATGACACTCTACATAGAAGACACCAAAAAAATCCACTAAAAAGCCACTAGATTTAATAAGCAAATTCAGTAGTGTAGCTAGATACAAAGTCATTACTCAAAAATCAGTACAGCCTTCCTGTACATGAATAGCAAATTCACTGAGAGAAATTAGGGAAACAACACTCTTCACAATAGCACTGAAAAAAGTGAAATACCTAGGAATCAATCTAACAAAGGATGTAAAAGACATCTACATTGAAAATTACAGCACTCTGAAAAAGGAGATTGAAGCAGATACCAGAAAATGAAAGATATCTCTTGCTGATGGGTAGGAAGAACCAAAATAGTGAACATGGCCATACTTCTAAAACTGTTATACAGATTTAATGTAAGGCTAATACAAATTTCAACAGTATATCTCACCAAATTAGAGAAAACAATTCTAAAATTCATTTGGAACCAGAAGAGACCTAGAATAGCAAAGGCAATTCTGGGCAACAAAGGCAAGGCCAGGGGCATCATAATCCCTGATTTGAAATTGTACTATAAAACTACTGTGATAAAAACAGCATGGTACTGGCAAAAAAAGACCTGAAGATAAATGGAACAGATTAGAAGATGCAGAAACAACTCCAGACATACTCAGCCACCTTATCTTTGACAAAGGTGACAAACACATTTTATTGGAAGAAAGATAGCCTCTTTAATAAATGGTGCTGGAAAAACTGGCTCTGCACATGCTGAGGATTAAGAATGGACCCATATCTTTCACCATGCACTAAAATAAATTCAATATGGATCAAAGATATAAATATTAAAACAGAAACATTAAATATGCTGGAAGAGAGAATAGGTAAAACTCTTGAAGACATTGGTGTGGGCAAAGACTATGAATAAAACCCCAATCACACAAGAACTATCACAAAGAATCAACAACTGGGATTTCATCTTATTAAAAAGCTTCTGCACAGCAAGAGAAACCAGCAACAGAGTGAAGAGACAACCCACAATGTGGGAGAAATGTTTGCCAGATATTCCTCAGACAAAGGATTACTATGGAGAACATATAAAGAAAACAAACAAACAAAAAATTAGACCTCCTAAACTTAAAGTGTCAATTCATAAATGGGCATCTGAGATGAATATACACTTCTCAGATGAAGAAATACAAATAGCAAATACATATATGAAAAAAATGTTCAGCATCACTGATCATACAAGAGATGCAAATTAAAAGAACACTGAGATTCCATTTCACACCAGCAAGAATGGCTACCACCAAGAAATCAACCAATAACAAATCCCGGAGGGGCTGTGGGGGAAAAGGAATGCTTCTCCACTGGTGGTGGGAATGTAGACTGGTGTGATAGGTGTGGAAATCATTGTGGAGACTCCTCAATAAACTAGGATTGGAGGTCCCATTTGACCAAGCTCATTTCCTTCTGGGTATCTTCCCAGAAGCATTAAAAACATCACACCACAGCGATATATGTGCACCCATGTTTATAGCAGGACAATTTGTAACAGCTAGATCTTGGAAACAACCCAAATACCCATCACATCAGGAATGAATAAAAAAGATGTGGTCTTTTTATACAATGGACTACTAGTCAGCCATAAGGAAGAATAAATTGGAGTCTTTTATAGGTAAATAGATGCAATTCTAGACCATACTCATCAGTGAAATTCAACAGAAGCACATGTGTAAACATCATATTGTGAGTAAATAAGATCCAAAATGTACAAGAGATATTGTAAAATAGGAAGAAACTTCAAACGGAAAGAGAAACTGGGATGGAGGAAAAGAGAAAAGAAGGAAGGGAAAAGAAATATATATATTAGTTAAGGTAGCTATGCTATTAATTTCCCTTACTTCACTGAAAACAAAAGTTTGTGCTAATATTTATGGACAATTAATTACCTATATTTTGTACTTTGAGTAACTAAGTTAAATGTAACAATACAAAATGTATTAACCATTGTTATTCTCCTATTGTCTTGTTTTGAAATTTTGTATTTTTTTTCGCTTTAAAATAAAAAACAGGGGCTGGGGATTTAGCTCAGCGGCACAAGTGCCTGCCTGGCAAGCACAAGGTCCTGAGTTCGATTCCCAGTACCAAGAAAATTAAAAAATTAAAAATAAAATAAAATAAACATTGTGAATCAAAGATGCTTTCATTTTATTTGTGTAGCACAACTTAAAATGGCTAGTCAAGGGCCTGGGATGTAGCTCAGTGGCACAAGCTCCTGCCTGGCAAGTGCAAGATCCTGAGTTCAATCCCTGGTACAAAAAAAAAATGGCTAGTGGTGTAGTTCAGTGGTAAAGCATTTGCCAGACCCTGAATTCCATCCACAGCACTAAGAAAGAAAGAAGCAAACAAGCAAGAGGAGAAGAGAAGAGAAGAGAAGAGAAGAGAAGAGAAGAGAAGAGAAGAAAGTAGGAAAAGAAGTAGAAATTGAAATCAGCAATCTGGGCTTAGTTTGTGGATTTGTTTCACATCTGGACCATGGGGTGTGAACCAGCAAGAAGTGCTGTACTGTATTCTCTGTCCTCACTTCTGCTTCCTTGGGGGTTACTTCTTAAACTCAGCTGAGATGTTTTGCTTCATCAAAGATCAACTATGAAAACCATGTACTATAAATTTAAATTAATTTTAGTTACATCATGAAAAGCAAATATTTTGACAGACACTTCTGAATCAACAAAAGAGGAATGTGACTAATCCCTCGAACACGGCGGGGTAGACAGGTCACAGGAACGACTTATCGTGCTTTTGTCTGGGTGCTGAGCAGTCAGTGCTACGCAGGTGAGACAGTGCCTTTTTACCCAGGTCGTTCTCCAGAGCAATCAAACTGAAATCGCCTTTGAAGGTTTTACATCTCGATGGGCACAGATTAGATTTGGTCTCCTGATGCTCACTTTATGTTCAATGAACACTTTTTACAAGTATTTTGAAAAATGAAGATGAAAAGCTTGCAAAGCTTTCCTTTGATAAAAGTAATTGAGGCATGAAAATTCAAATAACAAGTCAGTAGAAAAGCAGCACAGTAAAAAAAAAAAAAGTACAGATATCAAAATAATAGCCAGAAGCATCTGATGAATAATGCATACTCAGGGTATGTATGTTAACATATTTTCAAGAGTTTTAACACAGCTCTAGATTTTTAATGCCTGCTGATTTACCACTACGAAAAAGTAAGTAAATCAAAATTTTGAAAACTTACTTCAAGAGGCTAACAGAATAGTAGGATTTTTCTGTTTATCTTCATAATATTTATTTATGAATAGTATTATTAAAAAGTTATTTTTGGAGATGTATTGTAATAAGCATGAGAAAAGAAGTAATACCATATGCAGCATTTCAACAATCTAGTTTCTTAAGCATTAATTTAAAAAAACTCACAACTTTACATAATTATATTCATGACCTATTAAAACCTTCTAAGAGCCATAAGCCATTTACTATATTACCATTAATATTATATAAGCGAAAACTTATAAGGAAAACTAAGGAAATTGAATGAATATGTCAGAATTAGAATTATTCAGTTGGATAGCAGAATCCTGTCCTTTCCCTTGGATGCTACAATCTTTTCTCTCTGAAGATACGTGTAATATACTCACACCTGAATACCCAGGTGCAGTGAACATACACACACACATAATTTACACATATTTATAGATGTTGACATCTGAAACCGCAAAGTGATGAGCCCATCGAGACCGTGAAGAACCAACCTGGTGTCACCACCACTCCATTCCCGTTGACCACAGCCCTCTCCTCCTCGTCCTCCTCTGGAGGCTCTATGCTTGCTTTCTCCATGTTGCTCACTGATTTGTTTCTCTTTCGTTTTCCTTCGGCACTTGGAGTGGCTCCCGGAAGGATGTGGTCTGTTACATTTAATAATAACGGTGCCGGTTCAGCTGGAGGCTTTGGGGTACCGTAGTAATTATCTGCAAATGATACCAAAACATTCTGGAGTCATTCTTTCTCCAAATGTGGATGTGATTTGTAAAGAATGGCAGTTATATCAACCAGTGATTATCGTGTTTTATACATACATAGACACGCACACATACACACATAGTTTTATATTACAAATATATACACACATAAATATATCTGTCGTTTCTATTGCATTAAACTTTAATGCATAAAGATACAGATGAATCCTTTTGGTGCCATGTTTGCTTTAAGTCAAAATATAGCCTTGTGCATTATTCCTAAATGGTACACAGTTAATGTCAAAATTATTCAAAAAATTTTTGGTAACAAGACTTGAACATAAACTTTTAAAAATAATTATGTGAAGAGTGCAGGTGGTATTTGCTTTTGAGTTTTATTGTTGTTGCTTGCCCCTCACACTGCTGTGGAAAAGCAAAGCACCTTGAGCTTCAGGGTGGAGGGTGACCGTCCTGGGCATGGCCGCACCCTGCTAGGCTGCATCTGTGCCCGCTCAGGGGCGCCCACGGCTGCTGACGGTGGAGCTGCTGCCGAATCACTCTTCCTTTCATCACTCTCTCCCTGCAGCCTAGTACTGAACCAGGGAGTCATTTGCTTCCCTACCAATCTGTGAGCTTCTTGTAAAAAAGGGAGACTCATTCATACTTAGATCTGTGATGAGAACCTCGTGCATAGTAAGCATGGAATAAAAGCTTACTACTTAAGCATATATGTTTGCCTTTGTATGCTTAAGACAAATTGCTTAGTATTTCAGATATTTTCCAATTGCCATTGGTAAAGAACATAGGTGTTGCTTTTTTAAAAATGAGTCTCAGATTCTTAACACCATCTGCAAATGCATGTCGGTGTTTTCCACGAATGGAGTAATCTGTGCCTCTTCTTTGCTCCCTCACTGAAATCGCTGTGGGCACTGACTGTGCGCCTTGCAGTGCAGGATGTGTTGGAGGAAATGATGACGGGCATAAACTCGGGGTGTGGAGTGGAGGGCCGGTGTTGACAGCCAGCAGAGAGCATGCTAACCTGAAGCAGGATTGAGCTCTGTGGTCAGGGGTGCGCAGGAGGAAGGGGGCAGCCTCTCTACCTATGGAAGCCTCGCAGACAGATGTCAGGGAGGGCAGTGTGCTGCGGTGGGAGTTGGACTTCCCTCTGCGTATCACCACAACTCTCACAGCTCACTTACACTCAGGGAGCCTGCGTGCGAGAGCAACGGCAGTAGTTGTCCTAGTCACTTGTGTCGGGGACTGTCGGCAACCATACCCTACTCTGCTGAAACGCGAGAAAGGTGTGCTCAAAAGACGTGAGATGGTCGTCTGAGAGGAAGGGCTGAAAAGCTTTGGTGGGAGTGGGAGGTGGCAAGGGGGTCTGGGCAGGACACCACTCTGGCTTAGTTGGCTCTGGACGCTGAAGGCTGTAGCTGGCTCCCCGGCCCGGCACAGACTGACTCAGAGGAAAGAATCCAGCTGAGCACCTCGCCGTTCTGATTCATTCTGTCCACAGTAAGCTCCCAGGCAGGCCTGGAGTTGGCCAAACCCCAATCACAGCAAAGTGCTACCTTCCATCCCTCCCCTCCCCAGGGTCTGCTCAAATAAAAAGGGCTTTGGGGTGCTGGGCAGGCAGAAATACCAAAGCCCCCTTCCTCCCTGGGTCTTGATGAAGGTGAACCAGTGTATGAGGAAGAAAGTCACAAGCTACAAAGCTGCAGGGTGTCACAGTGGCATGGGCTCAAGCTGGCACGGGGGCATAGGCTCTGAAGGCGGCCACACCCCGGATGCTGGCACTAGCTTTCATAGATCTCCACAGTTGTCATGGCGATACAAGAAAAAACCGTACTTTGTAAAACTGTTCTTACAGATATCATACCTTTTTTTTCTTGACAGAGGCCCACAGAGTGGACGACACACATCTTGGCAGCTTGCTAATTTGATTTAGAGTATTTCAAACAAGTCAAATCTTTATATATCCTGGCCAAATTCTGAACAAACAAAAATTACTAGTTGCTCCCTAGAAGCTGATACACCATTACAGTCCAGCATTCTGAACGGCAAGAAAACTCTCCCTGCCATGCTTTCTAGGGACTCTTAGCACATACTGCTTGTCTAATAAACATCATCTGAGCTAGTAAATAATCCCTGAACAGCTCAATGAATATGATTTCCAGTAGCATTTTGCAATCTTTAATCCCTTTAAGTATACAGAGTACTAACAAAAATGGATCACACTTTAGTCTTTTTCCTTGTTCGTCTTTCAAGTTTCAAATGTTCCTGAGGTAGCCAACTTTTTACTAATTATAAAAAGTACATAGCACAGGCTAAAATAGGTATAAATTAATAGATCCTGTTGAATTCATATTATTAATTATACTTTTTTGTATGGTATGATTTTAAATTATACAGCAATATTTTTCTTTAGTATGATTTTAAAAATTAATACACCAGTAAATTTTGGGTGTAAAAATGTACAACTCATTAGGAAAGACATTAAAATTATTTTCATTAGCAAAAATAGCAGTTTTAAGAGAGGATAGAAATGACCTGTGTAATGACTATTAGAGAAATATAATGATGGGGAATAAGCTATTATGTCACACCATGATTTTTACCCCTTGCCTAGGAAACACCTAGACACCATCTGAAAGACCAGCCCAGCAGTCACTTAGCCAAGCAAAGTGTCTCTCCGATAAAACTATGTACAAATCCACGCACAAGGAGAAAAATGTGCCTTTTCAGGAACATGTTTTCAGAACAAAATAAACACCCAAATGTTTAAAAGTATAATTTGGAAATATTTTCCTACTAAGAATGAAGTGGTGCAATATACTGCCAGGATTTAGTAAATGTCAAGCCTCGAAAAACAAACCAAAAAATATCTACAATGAAATGTGGTATTCAATGGCAAAGACGCTGGCGACTGAGTTAAAGCTGACTCTGAACCCCGGGTGGCTGATTCTATTCCCCTGAGGGCTGCTGTCTGGGGATGCCAGTCCCTGAAGGACCCGCAGACTGGGCTTGGTGCTGCGTGACTGTTGTCCCAGCACTTGGAGGCTGAGGCAAGAGGGTTATTCAAGGACAGGAGCTCCAAACCTAAGTGGGCAATGTACCGCGACCCCATCTCAAAGATAATAACTTTTTAAAAATCAGTGGTAACTACTATTACTATTATTACCAGAACCACTGCCACAATTCACCAAGCTGAACACGTAATAGACATTTCACATATGAAGGCTTGGTGGGGATTAGAGCAACTCTTAGCCTACAAGGATCTCACAGAGATGAACAACGGCACAGACAAACGGCATAACTGGATCTGATGCTCAGGACCTGTGCACTCCTCCTGGCATCTATTCATCTCTACACAGTACGAAGTCATGTTCTGCCACTGTACTTAAGAGCGTAGAAGCCCCCCAGAATTAAAACGTTTCCCAGTATCTTAAATGGGGCAAGTAAAAAACCTACACCTGCTTGATTTAAGACTGCATCTCTTTTCGAAATGCTGTTACCTCTCGTGAGAGAAAAATAAAAGAGGTGATACAATCTTCAGCTGGCTCAGAAATATACAAAAAGCCTTCATTTAAAGCCAATGAGCACAAAATATCCGTTTCAAAAGAGAAAGGCAATACGGCTACCAAAATATACAATAGGGACATTTTATGTGATTTTCCTCAACTTTTCTTCCAAAAATAATTGTGTGCACAGTTTGGGGAGAAGGCGGGACAAAATAGGCTTCTCTAGAGCACTTTTCACTGAATGTATTTGTGAAGAACGACCTACACATGGAGACTTTCATGTAACTTTAATATCAAATCTCACTAATGTACTGTGGCCTCAAAATATCCACTTGATTCTGTCATATTTGCATCCCCTATAAACTCACAGTCTCATTTTCAGTTAATGTCTGGAAAATAAAGTGGCAATTACTTGAGGAGCCCCAATGTGTCACTCAGTTAGTTCTAGCTCCTTTTTTCCATACAGCTGTAGCTAGGAAAGAGTCAATCAGGGTGAGTACACCCATTTCTAACGTGAAAAATGGAAAGGCTTTTAGAAATTTGAATAAAATGAATAAACCATCAACAATTTATAATATAATAATAAAACCATTCAGTAAATGCCCACTTGCACTGCCCAGGGTTATCCTCAGTCATGGTAGAGGTGAAGGAAAGCAATTCACAGCACCGCTAGGAACTCAACCCTGCCAGGAAAGTCCTTGCCAACTTGACCCCAGCATCCCCAAAAGATGAGAATTGCTTTCTGAGTAACTTTTCGTTACTGTATTAGAAAGCCACCATAGAATTATGCCCACGCTTTCTCTACTTCTAGCAAAATAAGGTTTTGATAGAAGTCTTTGTCCCAGTTTATCTTTTCTTTCTAAAAAAATTAATTATCAGTACACGTGTGTAGCACATTCTGTGGGTGGAGCTGGTGGTGGTACATAACACATCTCGCGCTTCACCTGCCCTCCCATCTCTTCTCCTCTGCCATTCTGCAAAAGACCTGTCTCCCAGGTTCCCGTATCTAACTTTTGTTTTGTTCATATTCATATTTTGGGTTTCCCATAGAAGACAAGCGGATTGAGAAGCTGTACCCTCTCAATGTATTTATGTTTTATCTTCCCAAGAAGATAAAAAAACTGTCTGTATTTGGTGTTAATGGTAAGACTAAGGGGAAAAGAGAATAGGAAACTATTGCAATGAATCTTAAAATATTCCTTTTTTGTATCTCCGGTTTTGTTGGACAGATGCCAAGACAGTATTTTCTGAGATGCACCATATCCTTTATGCTTTTAAATTCTGATATTATGACAATTAGTAGGAAAGAGAGTACTGACTAATTTTAGGTATGAGGAAATATAAAAACACTAGTAGCAAGTACCTTAAATACGTTCACTTACTTGCAACAATCAATCTCTTTAAACAAATCAGTTTTCATGACCAAAATGTAATTGATTAATTCACTTTTCTTTTTCAACTTTATATGGGGATGTTTATTCTGTTGTT